GTATCTGCACGTGTACGTGTGAGAGTGTGTGTGAGAGTGCAAGTGTGCGTCTGTGCCTTCTGTGATTCTTTCTCTTTTCTTGTTTTGCCAGTTTGCAGTATCATGGTGGATGCAATAACCCCAATCAGTGGATTCGTCGTGACTTGTGCATCAGCAATTATGCTTGCGGGAATTGCAAAACAAGCTGGTGAGTGTTCAACGACAAAAAAAAATTGATCCACGAGTTCTGAAATAAAAGTTCTTTGCATAGCCATTTTGATTCCAGCTGGTTTAGGCTTTGCCATGGGAAATGCACCAGGGAAATCACAATTCCAAAGGAGTTGAGAAAAATGTGTCGTGCATGAAGAGGATGCTGTCTGTGAATGTATGTGGCTTTTAGCACGTGTAGGTGATCTTTAAATGACTGCTAATGTTGGGGTTATTTTGCAAGTGTTGTCCAATTGCAAAGTCACATCTCATGTCAGACCCTATGTTGTGAGGGGTGCATAGGCAGGCTGGTGGGGCGTAGTCTGCTCTGAACAGCTGAATGGTACCTTCTGATTGTCACCATGTGCCCTATATTGTGTTATCTTATGGGTAAATGTGGCTCTATGGCTAACAGTGGAAGTTCAAGAAGCATGATGGGAAATTATGCTAACACTCCATCAGCTTGCTGTGAAAGGAAGTAGTAAAACTAGAAAGCTGACCAGCAAATGCACAATGCTAAATCTTATTTAACCCGTGTGATTGCAAAAAAGGATGAAATAAGGTGACTAGAGGAACCACAGACACAGATGTCTCCTGCTTATATAACTCTTGGATAGAGCTCAGAACTATGAGGGTCTTTGCAAGGGGTAATGATATCGAACGGTCTGGAGGACTGCGAGAAAACATATACATTGGAGACGAGAGCCACAACTCAAGTGACAATTGGACACCAGTCACTGCGAAGAGGAGAAGACCATGGGCAATGGGCGGCATGGTGGCTCAGTGGTTAGCACTGCTGCCTCCCAGCACCAGGGACCCGGGTTCAATTCTACCCTCGGGTGACTGTCTGTGTGGAGTTTGCACATTCTCCCCGTGTCTGTGTGGGTTTCCTCCGGGTGCTCGGTTTCCTCCCACAGTTCAAAGATGTACAGGCTAGGTGGATTGGCCGTGCTAAATTGCCCCATAGTGTTCAGGGATGTGTAGATTAGATGGGTTATAGGGGGATGGGTCTGGGTGGGATGCTCTGAGGGTTGGTGTGGACTGGTTGGGCCGAAGGGCCCGTTTCCACGCTGTAGGGATTCTATGAGACCATAAATTCGGAATTCAGAGAATGCTGTGACTCAGAGTGAACCTGGCCAGTTTGCCACATACTGGGAGTATCTAGAGGTGAGTCAAACAGTTAGACAATGAGTTCACTGTGTGTTTTGCTAAAAATACTGAAGAGTTACTAGTGAAGGGGAAGTTCAGTTGGATTCTAATTTTGGCGTCGATACGTTATCTGTCATGAAATTCGACACCCTGATGGAATAAAGGTCAACTGTAGCTAGACAATAACTCTACCAATCAAAACCCATTTGACCATCGACCAGCATCCTTGTCTCGTGCAGAATACATTGTTGCTGCCTTTGGGATTTGATATTCTTGCAAGTCCATCCTGATGAGAGCAAGGTAAAAGGTTTTGCCCAACCCGTCTCTTTTCCAGCAGCCCTCAGCTGAGAGCTTTGTCTCTCCTTCCCAGCATCTTGCCAGTGTCACTAGCCATCGCCTGTGGCAGGAGGAAGGATCGCTGCTGGGAACGCTTGGGAAATCTGTTTGTGTGATTTAAGGCGGCACAAAGTGAAGGGAGAGCGTTTTAATGTAGAGCCACATTCAATGTTGCTTCGCTGGTGGGATATGGAGAGTGGACACTGGCCCAAAGGAGAAAGCATCAGAAGGGCTAACACAAATTTTGCTCAAGAGAGCATAAGAAACAGGAGCAGGAGTGGACCACCTGGCCCATTTGAGTCTGCTGCGCCATTCAATAATATCATGGCTGATCTCATGGACTCACCCGCTCGCTCACCATAATCCTTAATTCTTCTCCTCTTCAAAAATCTATCTACCTTTTGCCTTAAAAACCTTCAACGAGGTAGCGTCAGCTGCTTCACTGGGCAGGGAATTCCACAGATTCTCAACCCTTTGGGTGAAGAAGTTCCTCCCCAACTCAGTCCTAAATCTGCTCCCCCCTTATTTTGAGGCTATGCCCCCACGTTCCAGCTTCACCCACCAGTGGAAGTAACCTCCCTGCTTCTATCTTGCCTATTCCCTTCATGATTGTCCGTTTGTACAAGATAACCCCTCTCATTCCTCTCAATTCCAATGAGTACAGTCCCAGCTGCTCAATCCCTCCTCCTAAGCCAACCCTCTCAACTCCGGTATCAACCTAGTGAACCTCCTGTGCAGCCCCTTCCAGTGCCAGGGTTGAGAGCGTGAATGGAGGGGAGGGGGGGAAGGAGATTGAATCACTTCAAGCAGAATGTGGGATCCAGGTACAGCTGACAGTGACTCAGTGAAGCAATTTTGGGGAGCAGCTGAGAATTCGGAGGGGCCTACGTCTGGAGGAGAGTCGGCGACGGGAGGAGGGGGCTGGGCTGGGGAAATGCGGAGATCGGGAGCATTTCTTTTAATCCCACGAGCGGAGCGGCTCTTGTGGCAGCGTCCCTACCTCTGAACCAGGAGACCTGGGTTCAAGTTCCAGAGATGAATCGTAATGTCTCAGAACAGGTTGATTCCGAAAATATCTGCACCCGAAGTGGATGTGCAGTTTCAATCGTAACTTTCAAAGGACATTGGCTGAGGACTTAAAAAGCGGGAGGTTGCAGGGCCCTGGGAAAAGACAAGACAGTGAGTCTAATCGGGTGTCTCTTTCAAAGACCTGAATGATCTCCTTTCATCTTTGCAATTTAAAGACGTCAAATATTTGTTGTATTTGTAAATTCTTCGCGTGGCCTATTGTCAGCTGATTTGTTTCACAGACAATGGATGATGGACCGGTTACAGCCCTTAACAGGCCACTGTGTTGTTAGGAGACAATTTTAAAAAATTTCACCCTGCAGTGCCACTGCTCTGGGATAAAAAGTGTTGCCCATCCCTAATTACCGAGGAGATGGGCCCATGGGTTACCTTATGGAACCTTGCAATCTGTCCAATATGGGTGGTCCCCCAGCGATGTGGGAGTCCCACTGGCAGTAAATGGGTGCTATAACTCCAAGGCACAATGCTGAGCGGCGTTGGTTGGGGAGCTCAGTAGGTGACTGTGTGTTTGCTGCCCTTCCCCCTCCTAAGTGGCAGAGGCCGCAGGTTTGGAAAGTGCTGTGCAAGGAGCCTCATCGTGGAGATGCCGCTCTCACTGTGCGTCAGTGTTGGAGCTGGTGGACGGGTTGCCAATCAAGCGGGGTCCTTCGTCCACTGCTGTTGGAGCTGCGCCCATCCTGGCAACTGGGGGAGTATTCCATCCAACTCCTGACTTGTGGTTGGTGGGCAGGCTTTGAGAAATCGGGAGGTGAGTTACTTTCACCGCAGAATTCGCAGATTCTGACCTGCTCTTGCAGCCACAGCTATTTAGTTAATAAAGCACACAGGGTCGTTTTGGATCTTTTTATCATGAGTTTGAATTCGCAAGTGGTATGCAGATTAGAACAGACATTCATGGGTGTACATGCTGCTTTCTGTTGGCAGATAAAGGATGTGAACCACCACATAATCTACAATCAAGTATAATTCCTGCTGTGGTTGGGCCAATTGTGCTTTGCAGTGTATTCTTTGCACTTTATGTCCATAAATGTAAGTAAGAATCCTGCAGGTTGTTTTAAGACTGTAACAATATCTTGTATTTGTGCAACTTCTAATATGGCTTGGTGAAGACAGAGTTTTAGGGAGGGACTAGTAGCTCTGACAGCTGAAGTCAGCACGGTCAGTGATATGGTGAGAGATCAGAGATGGAAGTACTCCGATATCTGGAAGCACAGTAAATTCAGGAGGGAGTTAGATTGCGAGGGGTGGGGGGGAGGGATTTGAATGCCACAGGTCAGAATTTTCAACTGGGGTCTGATGTGAAGGACACACAGCAGGTCCCTTTCCATTTCAGTTGCTCCTTATGCCTGGTCACTGACCTCATTGTCCTCAGCCTGCTGTACAGTTTTAACGAATGACAAGGTCATGCATCTTGTCTTCCAAGTTGGCACTTTACAGCCTACTTAATTTTGTATCATAACCTCTGCCCCATTGAATTGTGTAATATTTGTTTTTTTTTTTGTTACTTCCGGATTTCGAAGTTTGGCTGACGATTCTACTGTTATACTTCCTCTAAAGACATATTTTGTTTCACTGTGTTATGCACCAGATCAGACCCCCCTCCAAAATATTTTAAGAAGGTAGTGGAGTCAGATACTTTAGAGACTTTTAAGCGATTCTTGGATTAGCACATGGAGAATAGTAAAATGTAGGGTATGCAGGGTAGTTTGATCTTTGTAGGATAATAAGTCAGTACAACATCGTGGGCCGAAAGGTCTGTACTGTGCTGTACTGTTCTATGTTCTATGTTCTTAAGGTAGTCTAGACCCTAATTTTTTCTTATTTTAAAGGCAAATGTAACTTGCTGTGTTCCGGACGGAATTCAATTGGTCAAATGTTAAGCAATACACAATTTATTCAAACATTCTAGTTAAAATACAACAGAAGAAAAAAGGAATTGGAATGACAACTCTACTGGAAAACTTAACAGAATAACAGATAGAATAACTATGACTAATTAACTGTTCGAATATAGTGACTGTTCCAATATAGTGAGTGAAACCAGGACAAAATACACCTCCTAAAGCCACAGCATTGTTACAATTGCCTCCCTTACTTTCACTGCATGTGCTGTGCCCATTCCTCCTTTGCCCTTTAATCTCTTCTATATTCCGTGACACACAGACACTCCATTTTGTTCTGTTCCCTCCCCGCTTTTCCCTACCATCTCATCCTTTTCTCCAGTTCCGATGAAAGACCGCTAAACTGAAACATTCACTCTGATTCTCTCTCTCTCTCCAGATGCTGCCTGACCTGTTAGGCATTCCCTGCTCTCTTTTTTGACTTCCAGCATCTGCAACATTTTGCTTTTGCCTGAGTGCCACGAGTTATTCTCTCCTCAGCCATGAAGAAAGGACACCCCCATTGTGCCTTTCCCAGTCGTGTTAGAAGGCACAGACAGAACTGAGCACATCACCATGTTCAAGCGCCTTTCCATTGACTGGGTGGGACCGTTCTCACCAGGTTCTGTGTTCCTTTTAGTTGAACAGTAGACGCACAAAATCATCTGTCATCGTTTCTCTTCCTGCTCCATGTCCTCCAAGGATTTATCCTTGTCCACCAACTCATTGTCATCTACCCATTGCCTGTTATAAAGCACAGTGCCATGACACTCTCCCTCACTGCGGCATCCCTCATGGCTCCTGTGTTGTCGTTCAATGATCAGACTCCTTGCACAAAACAAGACGAATAGAAATTGCTTCCAGTTAAACATGGGGAGGGCTGAAGCCCCGCTCCCCAATCTCCACTCTTTGGCTGCTGGCTCTATGCCTCCCTGTTGCGACTCTCTAAGGCTATCTCACAGCAGATTCTTCACAGTGCTGGTCTCGCATCTCACCCTGAGCTGTTGGCTTCAGACCCCATCCTCATCCCATCACTGAGATCACCTCCTCCTACTTCCTGACTGTCATCCCTTACCTGAGCTCTTCGACAACAGAAGCCCTCACCTATGCCTTTTTACCTCCTTAGGTTTGACGATGCTCTGGCTGGCCTCCCGCGTTCTACCCTCCGCAAACCCAACTTCGTTCCAAACTCTGCCGCCCGTGTTTCTGACTTTCTTCACATCCTGTCGCCCCAGCTTTCTCTACATTGGCCCTTGGATGATCAGTGCCTGGACCGTAAAATTCTAAACGTCCTTATTTCCAAATGGCTCCATGGCCTCACCCTCTCCTGCCTCATCGCCTCTAACTCCCAAGAAACCTCCAAAGTTTCTGTACTCTGGCCTCTTGCATATCGTTGGTTTGGCTAGTTCAGCCACCCAGAGGTCTAGAAAATCCCTCCCCACACGTCTCCTTCTCTCTTTGCTCTCCTCCTTTAAGACACTCCTTTAGAGCTACCTCTATGACCATGCCTTAATAAAACTCAGTGTCACCTTGTTCCACAAATGCTGCTGTGCAGCATCCAAGGGTGCTTGACTACTTTAAATTAATGTTGCCGGCCTTTCTCAGCACCGGAGAGTTAGCCACCGGTTGTCTTTCATCGTTTAGAGTATCGCCCCTGAACTCCTAACCCAGAAACCCAGCTAACACTGTGGGGATAGAACCGCAGATGCTGCAGTCTGAAACAACACAGTGTGGAGCTGGATGAACACAGCAGGCCAGGCAGCATCAGAGGAGCAGGAAAGCTGACATTTCTGAAGAAGGGTCCC